AATTGACACGCCATATTCCATTGGGGAGAAGTTCCACAAACAGTTTCTTCCTGCGCCCTAACATTTTGTGGAACAAACTCTCAAGAGGATGTGTCTCCGTTTTTAAAGATATTCTCCATCATTCACTGCCATATAGGAGGCCATATATCACGTCACAAGTCAGTACTCTTTCCATTGTTTTCAATTTTGATTTTCTGTCTCTTAATACTCTGCTTAGCATTTAGAAAGCATCTTTGGCCAACCCAATAGACCACGTGACAAAACTCATCATCTGTATTCTGATAAATTGAGCCTGCAGCAGAATCACGTCAGAGATAGAACGGGAACAGTGCAGATTCGTTAAAGACACCGGAACAAGGAACGCGACATTCATGCGCAGAATGTTATCAGAAAGAGCGATACAAATGCAGGACGGGTGCCTATGTTTCATAGACTACACAAACGCCTTCGACAAAGTACGCCACAAAGATCTGCTGGAAATGCTCAGCAACCATGATATATTCGGGAAAGATATAAGAATAATCAAGGAAGTATACTGGCAGCAAACTGCATATATGCACATAGGGAATGAATTCAGCGAATATAAACAATAGAGAGCGGGGTAAGGAAAGGATGCGTCTTCTCACCCGTTCTGCTCAACCTATACAACGAGGCAATTCTTAGAGAATTGGAAACCCTACGGGATTTAGCACTGGAGGTCGCAATCTTAAAACATAAAATACGCAGATGGCACAGTACTGATAGCAGTCCCGGAAAAAAATACAAAATCTCCTACAGAAGGTAGCGACGGAGAGTGAGAAGAAGAGATTAAGTATAAACTACAAGAAGACAGAATGCATGGTCATCAATAGATGGATGGGTCCGAAATACGAGTTACTGGTCGGAAACACTAGAATCAAGCAGACTTGGAAGTTTAATTATCTGGAAAACGTTTTGACAGAGGACGGTAAGTGCGACACTGAGATTCGTAGAAGTGTAAGGATGGCCAAGGACGCATTCCAAAATCTGGGCAGAGTATTGCGAGACAGGAGGATTTCTTTAGTAACAAAGAAAATAATAGTGAGCTGTTACGTGACATCTGCTAATGATATCATGAACCGATTATGTGAGCAAAGATGAAGTCTTAGAGAGCATGCAAGCAAGGAAGAAGCTTATACTTAACATCAGAAAGAGGCAGTTGAAGTTTCTAGTACACATAATGAGGAAGGAGAGCCTGGAGAATCTGATACTCACGGGTCAAATAGAAGGAAAGAAAGATAAGGGAACACAACACAAGTGGATAACAGAACGTGGTCTGGAAGAGGTGAAAGGGGGAAGGAACCTTTTGAGAACTGCAAGGGATAGAGGGAGGTGGAGAGCCATGATCACCTACGTCCTGAAAGGATATGGCTCTTGAAAAGAAGAATCCGTCTTTGCACTTTCCGTCATCTGTTATTTTCCAGATAATTAAATATATGTACTTGTTTCATTTTCATTTTTCACCATTTTTAATTCGCATTTAGGGTTCATCTTTTTGCTAACAACCATGCATTCTGTCTTCATGTAGTTTGCATTTAGTCCTTTCTTCTCGCTTTCCTTCGCTACCTTCTGTAAGAACTTTTGTAGATTCCTTCCTGTGACGGAAATATAATCTTCCGCAAAAACTGTTAACATTAGATCCGGTTTTCTTTTATGATTAGTTTAAAACCTTCCACGTATCTGATGACTTTTAAAGATTTTTAAAAAAAAAAATATAATCTAAGACATTATTAACTATAGCAACATTTCTTTCTCTGTGTTTACACGCTTATGCAAATTAATTGACACAAAACGAATAATTCCATTATTATTTACTTTTTTCGTATATTTCCAAAGAAACATGACCTAGTGCACATGATAGTACTTCGTGTGCCCATTTCACGAAGTCTTTCTTTTGCTGATTGACCAGAGATTCTCAATTGGATTTAAATCAGGGGAAGTTCATTGTTAATCTATAGTACTTTGATTTGCTCAATGGTAAGGCTTGTCAGTGCATCGTTACAAAGTGAGATTCCTTGGAGTAAAGTCTAACCCAGACAATGACCGTAGGACAACTAATCAAGAGTCGAGACAAAAGTGTCTGGGCGTGATGAAAATATGATGTAATCACGTCTGACGCAATTTTTTAAAGGCCAAACAAAGTTCATCATAGATTCATATTACTGCACACCACAGCAAATAACCTAATCTGAAAGAAAATAGGAATTGATTCCACCCTGTCACTCGAGTGGGTCTAAAACTGACCGTATGGAAAAAGAAAGGCAACTAAAGCAGTTGTTTCAATTAATTTGCAAAAGGGTATAAATACAGAATTCTGTCAGTATATTGTAGCATTTGCCGTTTTTAAATTCCTTAATCTTACTAAAAAGTTTTATTGTTCTATAAATTTAGAACATCTTCCATTATTTTTCAGGAAATACGCAAGATAAAATAAATAAAAGCAAAAACTTTCTGCAAAATCTAATTTCAGGCAATGACCAGA